AAAACCAATAATTGTTGTGATTTGTTGGACTAATAAGTTTAAAAACTTAAAAGTTAAAAAACAGATTCTGTTTGTGCGTTGTATGCAGCACTAGGACCCTAGGCACAATCTAGACTGTCAGCTAGCAGTTATGCGATAGACCTATTTTAACACTCATTAGGGGTCTTAAAACGGAATGCAACAATATAGTGTCTATCTGACTACATTTTATGAGATTGAGGTGTTTTTGTGTTGTTTTCTTTTTTTTTTTTCCAAGTAATGGGATTCTGCTGATTGTTCTATAAACATGATGTGAATAATTATCACGGTTGTTTACAAGTTTTAAAGAACGCACACACTGGGAAATCATTGTTGATTTGCTTATGTTTTCCCAGTGTATGCTCAATTACACATACATAAATACATATATACACATACACAGAAAAACAGTAGTTCAATTAAAATCCTATACTTAAAATGCAAATCACAGCAAAATGTGTTTTTCCTTTTAGAAAGGAGAACGACAATACGAGTTTTTAGTCGCTGTCTTACAAGTAAATGATCTCTATTCAAACATTACTTTCTATAAGATTTAGACAATATTGTACTTTTTTTTGGAATGAGAGGGCAGGCGGAGCCTTATCATATCGTAAAAATACTGGTATGCATCCTTGACAGAAGGTTTGAGAATCTGTGTTTGATCAAAGTACGATTGTAGCGCTAGTACATACCGTGGGGAAATGATTGCAAATGGGAGAAGACGGCGTAGGTAAAACGTAGATGGAAATTGAGTCGTTTTGGTTTCTTCCACGTCTGCCTCCCGTTGACGCTCATTTACCCGCGGGCGAATGACCAAGCCAGGCGTGAAGCATCGGACGGGTGGAGGAGGGACGTTGGATCACTTATCACGGGAAGTGGACGATTTTCCATTTCTCCTCAAAAGGGAGAAACGAGTCTAAGAATGGTCAGAAACTCGCGATACAATAGGCACTTTCAGATGCTTTTCAGTTCGACAACGGTGATGACACCGTCAGACTGGTGAGCCCCTTTTGCCCGAGACTCAAGTGCCTGGACTCTTCAGCAGGGAAGGTGGCTAGACTCGGCGGACGGGACGAGCGACAGGTGGCGCCTCTCAAGAGGGCCCTAGTCAGGCCCGAAGTGACGCATCGGGAACTGCGTCCGGGATTGGTCCACGTCCGCCGCCAGTCGCTACGCGGCATCCTCGGCGATGTTGCGGCACAGGCAGATGGACAGGACGATGCCAAGCAGCTGCAGCCCCGCGATGGACGAGCAGGTGGCCACGAGCACGGCGCTCTCGCGGCGGAACCACAGCACCAGCTCGAGGAGGCAGCCCTGCGGAAGCCACATATAAAGGCTCTTTGTTCTAACCCGGCAACAAAGGTGCCCCCCGAAGCGACGCCAAGGGTTCATCGTCCAGAAAGTATACGTCCGTTTTTTTCTCAGATTCATTTGGTTAATCGCGGGAGCCCACAGCTCCTGCGAGACTCAGGGTAGGCCATCCCGCAGTGCAGGTATGCACTCATGGCAAGGTTTTGCCTACCCATCAGGCGCTATCAGCTGATGTTATTTTTTAAAACAACGTGTTAAGTTTCTTTTTTAAAAAAATACTCTATGAGCAGTTTGCATGGGCTGCTAGGCCGCACTCGCGAGTTTCATAACGGACATATTTTCTGGATGATTCCGAAGGGGACGAAACCCCAACTGCCCCAACACTGCACTGAGGCCTTCGGGGCCGCCCAGCTTCCACAATGCTTGCCGGGTTGGCCTGACGAGCGCGCTGCAGCCGAAGCCATCAGAACTAGTGTAAGTGCACATAAGACTCAAATTGCCTACTGCACGATGACCCCGTCGGATAGACACGATGAAGGGCACACGCATCGTCTGCATCGAGGGCTCACCTGCTTGTACCGCAGCCGCTCGTGCACCCGGGGGTTGTCGTCCTGGCACGACTGCTCCTGCTTGGGCAGAGGACTCTGCCATGCCTCTTCCGTCTGTAAAAACGCGCGGCAGTTTAGAACGCGCCGCCGGAGTGTCGGTGCAGTAACTCAACAGCGTTTTCTTTCATTTCAAAGAAAAACGTTTATCGTCCGTGTACCGTCTGCTGGTCTGGAGCGACTAGTCTAGGAGAAGCATGTCGCGTTCTAACGATTGAACATGCAGTGGTCTACCGCTACAAACATGCAAAAAAAAACTATGACTCATGCGAAAAGGGTAAAACTAACTTAAAATTGTTGCCATCCGACATTTCTTTTGTGCTAAACAAAATGAATGACACTGCTAGAATGAAAAACGAAAAATAAAACAGAAAACTCAAACCAAAAGGGGAGAAGTCAACTTCCATTATTCACACTATTTAGCGTGGCACTTGCGCACTGGTTTTTCTGCTTAGTATCCATGCGCCAAAATCATTTGCGCAGCAATCAAGAACAAAATAGCAAATTAACCAAAAGGATAAAAAATATAACCAAAATGCCCAACTTTCTCGCCGGGTCAGTCCGACCGGGCCATAGCCGAAGGGGCCCATTTCCCGGTCCGGCCCAGTCTGGCCGCACCGGAGTTATGGCTATATGGAAACAAGCTCTCCGCGGCAAGCGGTCAAAACAAATAGAAAGTAGACAAAGAGGTTACTCACGGTGCCGTGGAAAGACCTCGAAACTACGCTAATGGGACTTCCAGTCTGTGATACCTGTTGTGGGCCAAAGAGCAACCGGTGTCTTATCAGGCTAGCAACCATGAACAAGAAAAAGTTGTCCAGAACGACGCGCCTGCCGCCGCGGAAGAGAGCCATGTGTTCGATACCAGTAGTTGTTCATTACATGAAAACCTACGCAGCTGAGGTGAAGACATATAGTTCGATAGCTGCGGTGTGCTGACCAGAGTAGCCGAAATAAAATGGCAATATGATGTTTTTCTCATTCAGACTACAGTAAATACCTTACCTGTCTTCTGCGGGCAACGGTTTTCTATCAAAATTAATTCAGGGGTTTATCACATATATCACAAGTATCTCAATTTAAAGCCTTAGTTTGGTTTTACCTGTAACCTTATTTGTTCCTTTAAAGAATTCTTCAAATTTGTTAAATGCAAAATTGAGTTTAAAAATCATTTAGAGCAGTGTCAATAAATATCTAAGGGTAGAAATCAGTTCTGGAGAAAGAGAAATGTTTGTTTTACAGTGATGCAGGAAAGCAGTTTCTGTGATCTATGATCATGCATGCATAGTATAAAGTCTTTCACTATTTGTACTAGTAGGAGAAATGACATTACGACGAGCTTCAAAGCTCTTTCAAGTTATAGCTCTGTGAGGTAAACCATTTACGTGTGTGCGCAGAGAGAGAGAGAGAGAGAGAGAGAGAGAGAGAGAGAGAACTACGAAATGAACTTGAAGGTGACCCCACAATAAACTCTCTTCGAGTTGCCGCGAGGTCATGTTGGGCGTCAAACGTTCTCATGGCCGATGCTCCCGCTCCCGCACTTGGGCGCTCTGGGTGGGACGCCGGCTTCACACAGCTGCTTGGCGGGCTGGCCTACCGAGCGCATCAGCAGGCGCTATCATGAGCGTTGCCTCGTGAGCTCGTGAGTGGTTCATTGTGGGGACACCTTTAAGAGCAATTGCTCCTTGCCCCAACCAGCTATTCGAGTGATATCAGTTACTTTCAAGCAAACCCGCGGGAGCCAATAGCTACAGAACGTCTCGGAGAATTACAAATTTTACTAAACTCTAGCAGCCCATGCATCGCATGCTTACTCGGTATCTAGTACAATACGAAATCAGCGCAGTGAACCCTAATCTCACAGAATTTTATCTCCATTCGTCTTCACGGATTCGGCCAGAATAAGAAGGCTGATTTGCGAACTGATTACGTAATTGGGGCGGGGGCCGGCACAGCACTGAAACCCACTCCCCCTTTCTCTTTTCCAGAAAAAAACAACACAAAAAAACGCCCCCTCCACCTCTTTCTACACTGGGTGGAAGGGGACATCCGTTGGGCCGCGAGAGGAGGGGCGTTAGGTCTGATCGCACTGGCGGCTGTATTCTCGCTCGGAAATGAGCAATTCCATCCCCTCCCCTCTTCTCTCTCCTCACCCCTTCCTTTCCCCTCCACCTCTTCCCTCTCACTGTACACCTTCGGCCCGCGGCCCCGAGCAAACGATTCCATTCGTTACCTCAGCCTCAGCGCGCCTCACCCTCACTGTCAAAAAATACGTGCAAAATTTGTGAAGTGAATAAACGGACCACTCCGTTTTATTCAAGAATTATTCTGACGTAGTTTTCGACAGTTCTGTACACTGTGAAAAACATTCGTATCGGTTCACGAACAAATATTCATGGAGAAAAGGATAGAAAATTAAAAATTCAACGTGTATGACAACGAAAATTTATATAGCATTATGCAATCTACTAAAGTTTTCTTCGATGGTTAATAAATAGGCCAAAATGAATTTTCGACTGCGTTTTGTAAACTATTTACGAGTGCAGTTTGCGAATTCACGTCAATTCAAAGTAAGAAACAATGAAAAATATCGAAAATTTACCCATCTACTGTTCACAGTGTATGGGGAGAGGGGATCCTCGCTGAGGAGAGGGGAGGGTCGGAGGAAATGAGGAGGAGAGTTTGTTTGTTCCGGCAGAGGGCCGCGTCCGCTGCATGCGCCCTTCGCGCCGTACTCGGAATCGGACTCGTACTTACATCCGTGTTGGCCAGCACGCAGCAGGTGAGCGGCACGTTGCGGGGCCGGCTGTCCTTAGAGCGACTCTGCTTCCACCACTGCGTTTCCAGGTAGTCCGAGTCGTTCCTCATGCCGCAGCAGTTAAACTGGCATTTCGAGATTCATACGAGTTACAGTTTCGTGTGTGGGAAAAACACGACCGATCCCTAGAAAGGAAGGCGCTGTCGAGTGGCTCACCCTGTACTGAGCAAAGTCAACCGAGGTGGTAAAGTCCTTGTTGGCCACGTTGTTGCTCAGGTAGTGGTTCTCGATGTCCATGCCGTACTTCTCGATGAGTTCAGAGCTCAGTCGGGTATCCAGCCCCTCCAGGAACTCCTCGCGAAACACGAAAGTGAGCACGGCCACCCCCATCTCACCCACGATCAGCACGATGAGGAACATGACATACTGCACACACATAAACTCACATTATTTACCTCACATTTACAATTAAGAAATTACATTCACAACCAGTTCAAGAGCTTCTTGTTCTTACCGTGCCGATCATGCACCTCCGCTCGTGCAGCGCGCCGCAGCAGCCCAGGAAGCCGATGAGGAGGATGGAGCCACCGATGCCCAGCAGGACGTAGGCCAGGTAGTAGATGACGTCTCGTTTGGCCTGCGTCGCCGACACCAGGTGGAACAGGTGCGCCTTGGCCGGGTCCAGGAATACCCATGCTCCGAGCACAATCAGGGTCCCGCCCGACAGCTGCGGGTGAGGAGGATTCAGTTTGACGTGAAAGATCCCACTAGGCGCCCTGTTGGTGGTGCCGAGCCGAGGCAAGGTCCCGGTCAGACTCACCCAGAAGAGCATGTTGAAGGAGATGAGGATGCTTTTGGCGCACTTGGTACCGCAGCCCACCGCCATCTGAAACAGGCGCGGAGTAACGGTTTGGTGAAGCGCTTATGGTACGCTAGCCGGCTTGCTATTTGCAAAACAACACTGAGGTACGGCAGGGTGGCTGCCGGTGGCCGCTCTGCCCCGTAGTTTTGAAAAGGTAGACTAGCCCGCCCGCAGACGGGGCCGATCGAGAAGCTCGGTGGAGCGGGGAAGTGGGAGGGGGCGGGAGAGGTAGGTGCGCAACCAGCGAGCTTAGCTTCCTGACCGGCCCCGTCTGCGAGGGAGCTAGTCTACCTTTTCAAAACTATGGGGCAGGGCGGCCACCCTGTTGTAAAGAGAGGCTCTTTTCTTTATTCTTCTTCTTCAAATGATTCGGGAGTTTTATTTAAAAGAATGACTATTCATAAAGCAACGGCCGTGTCCTTTTCTGAGAGGCTGAAGACAGAGGCTTAAGGCAGAGCACAAAGAAGTAAA